TTGTGGTCTGGTGGTAGTAAGGACGGGGAGCTCGGCAATGCGTTGTGGTCTGGTGGTAGTAGGACGGGAGCTCGGCAAGTTGTGGTCTGGTGGTAGTAAGGACGGGAGCTCAGGCAATGCGTTGCGGTCTGGTGGTAGTGACGACGGGAGGTCAGGCAAATGTGTCGCGGTCTGGTGGTAGTGAGAATGGGAGCTCAGGCAAATGTGTTGCGGTCTGGTGGTAGTGAGCCCGGGGGCCCGGGGAGATGTGTGCGGTCTGGTGGTACTGAGGACGAGAGCTCGGGGATGTGTTGTGGTCTGGTGGTAGTGAGGGGGGCCCGGGATGTGTTGCGGTCTGGTGGTACTGAGGACGGGAGCTCGGGAGATGTGTTGTTCGGTCTGGTGGTAGTGAGGACGGGAGCTCGGCCAAGTGTGTTGCGGTCTGGTGGTAGTGAGGACGGGAGCTCAGGCAAATGTGTTGCGGTCTGGTGGTACTGAGGACGAGAGCTCTGGGAAATGTGTTGCGGTCTGGTGGTACTGAGGACGGGAGCTCAGGAAAATGTGTTGCGGTCTGGTGGTAGTGAGCCCGGGGGCCCGGGGAGATGTGTGCGGTCTGGTGGTACTGAGGACGGGAGCTCTGGGAGATGTGTTGCGGTCTGGTGGTACTGAGACGGGGGCCCGGGAGATGTGTGCGGTCTGGTGGTACTGAGGACGGAGCTCGGGGAAATGTGTTGCGGTCTGGTGGTACTGAGGACGAGAGCTCTGGGAGATGTGTTGCGGTCTGGTGGTACTGAGGACGGGAGCTCTGGGAAATGTGTTGCGGTCTGGTGGTACTGAGGACGGGAGCTCGGGGAAATGTGTTGCGGTCTGGTGGTACTGAGGACGAGAGCTCTGGAGATGTGTTGCGGTCTGGTGGTACTGAGGACGGGAGCTCGGGGAATGTGTTGCGGTCTGGTGGTACTGAGGACGAGAGCTCTGGGAGATGTGTTGCGGTCTGGTGGTACTGAGGACGAGAGCTCTGGGAGATGTGTTGCGGTCTGGTGGTACTGAGGACGAGAGCTCTGGGATGTGTTGCGGTCTGGTGGTACTGAGGACGAGAGCTCTGGGATGTGTTGCGGTCTGGTGGTACTGAGGACGAGAGCTCTGGGAGATGTGTTGCGGTCTGGTGGTACTGAGGACGAGAGCCTGGGGAATGTGTGCGGTCTGGTGGTACTGAGGACGGGAGCTCGGGGAATGTGTTGCGGTCTGGTGGTACTGAGGACGAGAGCTCTGGGAATGTGTGCGGTCTGGTGGTAGTGAGCGGGGCGGGGAGATGTGTGTCTGGTGTACTGAGGAGAGCTCTGGGAGATGTGTTGCGGTCTGGTGGTACTGAGGACGAGAGCTCTGGGAGATGTGTTGCGTCTGGTGGTACTGAGGACGAGAGCTCTGGGAGATGTGTTGCGGTCTGGTGGTAGTGAGGACGAGAGCTCTGGGAGATGTGTTGCGGTCTGGTGGTAGTGAGGACGGGAGCTCGGGCTAATGTGCTGCGGTCTGGTGGTAGTGAGGGGGGGGGGGGGGGCGCGGAGAGATGTGCTGCGGTCTGGTGGTAATGCAGTATCCAAACACTAGCTAGTGAGCCGCAGTCGGTGAAGTGCCTTTTTCGCAAAATCTGTAGTGCTATGCATCCTTCATTTGTATGGTAGTCACTGCTCTGACTGCTCCTCTGGGGCAACAGTGATTTTTTCCGTGCTTTTTTCACATAACACCATGGGGTGAGTGGTAGATTTTCTTAACGATAGGCAAGCTGGCCGCCCCTCCGCGCTTTCGTCATGGCTAGGCTGACTTGGGCTGAGACTGCAGGCGTTTCAGACCGCATGTCCTGGCCAGAGCCCTCGTCATCTAGTAGTGGAGATGTCCAACACTCGGGTTCTGGCTAATAGATCGCAGTTTTTCCTGTCCGGTAGTTGGCGCAACGTAGCTATTCGTCGCCTGCTGCTTGGGCGCTGACTTCCCCGCTGGCAAGGCCACTCGACCTTTTTATCCGAGGCCGATCACATTACGCCAAAAAAATTTGGACTAAGAATGGATAATAAATAAAAAAACTTCCGGGAACAGATGTGCATGTTAAGATGGCTTATTTCGTTGGCTGCGCAACAAGTTTTCCATCATTGTTATTTCTTTACATTTGGTTTCTTCATGGAGTTCTTAGCCGTTATGCAGCCTATAAAGATTCCCTGCTTTAATTACGTTCTTCTACCCATGTGTAAACGGAAATCTACCGTTAATCTACCAAATTTGTATCCTTCCTAATTTGTAAGATTTTATGGTACATTGTCTCTTACACCGTCAGCCGTGGCGGACTTTTCAAAGAAAGGTCAACTCATTCCACACGCTTCTCTACAAAAAGCGGATCGTGAAAACGATACCAGCTGTTGTAACAAATATTATATAATCCTCTTTGGACCTTGATGGAATGCTGAATAAGAGTAGAATGATTATATGTTATTATTATTATATATAATTATTTTATATATATTTTTATATATAATTTTTATTATTTATTATATAATTATATATAATTATTATATATTATATAGGACAAGGAAAACAATTTCAAAGTAATAGTTAAAAATAAAAAATAACACAGTTGTCTAATTTGACCTTGGCGCAGCTGCACTGAGTCGTAGAATGCGGGTGGTTCAGAGCATCCTGTTACTGGTGCGCGAGTCAGTTACCTAATTGATACGAGTCAGCGAGACTGACGATTTTTGCGACGATTACCAGAAACACGCATTTTTCGCTCATGTATGCGGTTAGCTAGCACAAACTACGTCACATGCAGCCTGTAACACTGTGGATTGTTTGTGTTAAGACCAAAACGATATTATTACGATGTTTGTTAAGACCTGATGCAAAAAAATGGCAAGGAAGACGAAGTGAGAGGCTGAGCTAGCGCATCGCTATGCGAGATAGCCTTGCTGGTGCAGTCTTTTTTGCGGGTGAGGTGGGGCGGCGAAACATGGGCCACCAGTCTGGGGAACGTCATTGGGGATGTCAGAAGCCAGTCTCGGCTGCTTGGTCTTGATAAGGAAGAAGATAGGGAATGGGAGAATAAGCTGGTCGAGGACTGGCCATTTGGCAGCGTGCGCGAGCCGGCCAAACGGCTCGCCGAGATTATTGGAAAAAATATCGCGATTCTGTAAGTTTGAATTGTGTAGAACTTGTAGCAGCCAACTTTCTCCACCGCGCATTAGAAGCGCACGCGAATTGCTTGCGCCTTAACGGAGCAGTAAAGGTCGGGTAGCTGCGAAAATCGCCTAGTATTTTGGCATGTAAAGAGACAAACACCACAGCTGCAAGCCGCTTCAAGGCTGGTGGTCCACCACTTCAAGAGCGAGTACTGTTTTCTCGTCCCCAGAGCTACTTCGTGCCATCCAGCAAGGACATACCGACCGACTTCCGTGTCAAGCTCTTGAAAAACAACTACAACCCCGTCGGTGTTTTCAACTCGAAAGGTCAGTCCGACGCCCCGAAATATTTCCATGGTTCCACAATTCGGCAGGCATTTACCGCGAAAAGCTGTTTATGTGCCTGTTTGCTGTTATGCTATGTGCTTTTTAAGCCAGCTGGCGCCAACTTGTTTCGATATGCAATTTGACGGACTTGCTTTGATGGAAACAGACCCATACCCAAACCCGAACTAGAGGGTTCGCCCTTTCTCTGGATAATCGGCCACGGCGAGCGTGAGTGGCAGCATAGCGTGACCCCGTGACATGCTGCCTGTGCTGCAGCCACCGGCGAGCCTCCGCTGTGTGTGACGTTCAGCTGCCTGAGCGCGCTGAGGCAGGCCGTCGCGGCAGCTCGCAAGGACGCCGGAAAAGTCAACTGGACTCAGCTTGGTAAGCTTTGTGTTCTGCTTGAGAGATTGGTCTCCCGGACTCATTGACTTTAGCTTCGTTCCGCTGTGCTGTTTTGTTTTCAATAACTATATTCTCTCGGAAATTATTTTCACTCGAAAATTAATCGAACTCCTCGTAACAAATTAGGGCGGAAAATGTCTTTGATTCTTCCAAGCACAGTAGTTTTTATTATGCCGCCACCAGCACTCCCGTTCCATAAACGGACGAAATGAGTGGGATGCTGGACACTGCGCACAACACATAAAACAACATCTTAGTACATGAAGACCCAGACGACATTCAACGACGTACCACACGGCGCCTGGACGGCTGTCTGTCGGCAGCTGCAGCAGGCTGGACGGCGCGCCCGAGGCCGGCCGACGTGCCGCGCCGGTCCGAGGCCGTTTGTGACGCGCCGGAGCGGTTCGTGACGCAATACACCACCGTGTTCCGTTCCAGACGCGCCGAGTACAGTGGAGTCCGTCCAGACCGCTCTGCCAGCTGAGCGTCGACATGTTCGTGCTCTCGTGAGCGAGACCGAGCCCCTCGCGGCGGGGGTGCCGGTAGATGGTTGGGCGGTGGGCGCTGTGGTTCGCCCCGGGGCGGCCGGGCCTGCTCTGTCGTGCCCGCAGGTCGTGTGCGAGACGCTCCAGGCCGGCACCACGGACGTGAAAAGCCAGCGATTGGCGTCGGGTTTAGTCCCGCCACGGCTGGAAAGGTGGCTTAATCAGGCATTTACTCAGCTGGGTGATACTGCTGTGATTGTTCATGATTGGCACGGTGCTTGTTGTTACGCGTGTGCCTTGTTCTCGGCTGTACGGATATTCCTCGGGTGTTGTGACTGGTATTACCTCGTCAGAAGTTATGCTGTGGGTTTAGACAGGTCAGCAAATTTATAGCACTGTTCGAGCTGCATTGTGCTTAGGACGCTTAGCTCAATGTTTCGATGGCTTTAAACGGTATCGTCGTTACTGGAGGGAGAAGGATGAGACCGAGGTCATGTATCGCTTCCTCTGTTGGCTTTGCGTATCCCTTGCAGGCAGCGACGATCACACTGTTTCAGTTGTCCCTATATCCCCTCCTCTCCCTCTCCAATGGCCAGTTTGTTCCCAAGATCATCAGATGCTCACCAGGCGTGAAATATGGGTGAACCCAAGTACATCATTTCGATTTTTCGTGGTAGGACTAGGGGCGCCTGATGTGTACCAATAAGGTTACTGTTTGAGGATAGTTTGTAGATCACGTATGCTGCAAATGATGCAGTTGTAGTCAATGGATGATCCAATACAAAATTCACAAAGAACGGATAGCATGACTTCAAAAAGTTAAGAGGTTGAAGATGAAAGTGATTCATTTCACATCGTGTTCTGCAACTCATCCGGATCACGATGATTCTTTCCACCAAATTTAGCAGCAAAGAACTGGCAGCCACGATAGCACTGTTGCCACGCGCTCGGGTGCTGCGCTGACGCCAAGTCGTACACATCTGGAAGTGCACCACTGGTGTGCGGTCATGTTGCCCCACCTCAGTGACAGAGCCTGCCTGCCTGATCTGCGCCTGCCCACCACCTCACGTCCGGTGCGCCTGGCCGGCCGCTCCGGCCCCCCGCCGACCTCTGCGGCAGCACCGGCCGCGGCCAAGGTCGGCCCCACAGCACGGAGCGTGGCCGCGTGCCGTCAGGGCCGGTCGGCTTGGCAGGCCGGCCGCGCCTGACCCGGAGCACGGCTTTGTCTCACCCCTGGCTCTCTTCGGCACTATCGCTCGTCGGAAGTCGTCATCAAAGTTGTTGTCCATGAGTGCGTATCTCTTCATGCAATGTATCATCGACGTTGTGGGATGAAATGCTGAGGCTAGCTGCATTAAGTTCGAAAATTCGCGGTTAGGAGCATTGCTGGGTACAAAAAAAACACCACCACACTACCCCAGCTCTAAACTCTCCCGGATGGCCAAGTATCGAGACCAGTGAGGACTATGGTGGCGCACCGTGACGCGGTCAACGTTTTCATGGTACTGACGCCGGAGGGCGTGCACCTGTCGAGATCCTGTTCAGCACCTGTCCAGCACCTGTCGGGCGCTGTTAACAAGGTGTGCCGCCGTGTCCTCGTATGGAAAGGCACCTCTGCCAGGGCCAGCTTCCACCTCCGGGCGCTGGCTCGCCCAACACAGAGCGTCTTTTTCATATCGCGCAGCCTCTGTACGGAATTGTCTGCTCTCGTATATTATCACGCACCCGGGTGGCCGGTTGGACAACCTTCGCTCGAGTGGGAGAGTCAATTCGACCCCTTGAGATCTCAGGAACTAAGGAAGTTAGAAACACCCAATTTACAGGGTGTTTTGGCCTGTGCCTGAACTCACTCAGGTCAAAGTTTAAGGTTTCCTCGGCCGTGACCTTCGTGTCAGGTAAGGTTTTAAACAAGATCAATATCCAGGTTGGTCTCCAAAGTGCCCTTAATACCTAGACACCTATTCTTAGCAAAAGGTCATATGATCGTTTAAGGTCAGTGATCTTGTTTGACCTTTCGAAGGTCATGGGGACCAAAATCATATCAGACTTCTTTAAGTTTTGCATTTGAATAAGCGACAAAGATTACGTTAGGCGGTATGTTTCTAAAAACAAAAGTTAAACCGGGTCATCTTAGGTCAGTGACCTATGAGAAGTGCATGGAAGATGTCTAATGCGGTTCCTGTTATCAATAAATTCGAAATGAGCACCAGAAACCATCCCATACAGCAAACCCTAGAGTACAAAAACAAATTGGCTTTGACCTTGGTCTGGCTCTTCAAAACTAATCCTAGGTCAATTGAATTTGTTCACTCAATTGTCGTGTTACCTAAGAAAGTATCTAAGAGATGTATGATCATGTGTAACACTCCGTTGCTGCATCAGATTGAACGATTCCCTAGAAATTGACTTCACAGAAGTCAAGAAACAGACTTCACATGGCCCTGAATGACGATTTACTGACTTTACGGCGGAGCAGGTTCGGGTTCGCTTTGGGCGGTTTGCTATTTGTTCCTGACTGGTATAATCTGCGGCGGTGGCAGTGAGCGCGCTAACGGTTAGGTAGGGTCAGAGGGCAGGAACCGTGCCGAGCATTGCGATACGATAAGCTTTCGCTGCAAATTTCTACCGTTGATCCAGAAGTTTACCATCGTGTCAGGGCCTACCAAACGAACACTGCCTAGCGTGGGCGCCCAGCCTGAAAATACGTGTGATCAAAAGGCTTTGAGCTGTTATTAAAAAGCCCGTGGCCGCCTCAACCGTACTGCGTTTGCAATGCCGCACTGTATTCGATGATGAAAATAATTCTCGGTCGGACTGCCTCAGACGCAGCGGTGACCTGCCGCACACGACGCCGACAGGGAGAGGCCCACCCCCACGCGCCCGAGCAGCACCTCTTATACTGCTTCCAGGGCTCATACCCGCAACACGATCTGCGTGCGGACTGGCCGGCGCCACCGTGACGCACCGCCCCGAGCCGTGATTGTTCTCCTCACTCAGACATGAGTCATCGCCCCACTCGCCTTACATGCTGACACACTGTCCCGGGGCATGGTCCACCGCCACGCCCACACCCAATGGCTACTAAGCAAGCAGTTCTTACGTCCAAAATGCGGTGATAATGCCTGCTGATCTCTGGCCGTGTGAACATAGACGCACTGAACTTGATGTCCGTGAAGTTGGCGATTTGTTCAGCGATTTATGCAGCGAAGGGTTGCGATTTCACTGAAAAACGTCATTTGGTCAATTAGGGCACGAGAACACCGAATGAGTATTCTATTTTACAATATCACATAACCTCCGAGGACAAATCTAAGATGCAAGGACAGGGAACTCCAGTCTTCATATCGCCGAAAAATTGGTGACTGATTTCGGATTTGGGCATCAGAATATTAACCATCATTTGAGCTATTGTCCGTTGAAAACTCCTCAACTCTCAATGGCTTCCGACAAGGCCAAATTGAGGCCCAAAGGACGAGGAAATCACTTTTGCCAAAAGTTTCCAACTGATTTCGAATGATCAAGCATGGTTATATCCGCCAACAAAGGAACTAGCGTTCGTAAAAACTCCTGACCCCCTCAAGAAAAGATGAAGGCCAAATTCCTGCTCAAGGAAGAGAATTCCGTAGCCCTAAACATCATAAACCGATTTGGGACTTTTGAACATCAGAACAGTCGCTAGCACATGAACTAGCGTCCGTCAAAAAGGCATATACTATCGAGGTCACTCTTATAGTTGAAATGGCGCAAAATCACTCATTCCCAAAAGTTACTGGCTGATTTCCAATTTCTACGCATCAGGATCGTCTTCAGCGGATAAAGTAGTCTGTCAGTAATCCTGACTTCCCGAGTTCATCCTTCAAGGCCAAATTCAGGGCCAAAGGACGAGACTCCAAATAACCACAAAAAAACAGACGATTTCAAATTTTTGAGCATCGGAACAACCACTACAGACTGGAACAACGTCCGTCAAAGACTTTTGACCTTTCAAGGTCACCATTTTACGGTAAACTCAGGGACAATGGTTGGGAAATCGACGTCACCAAAAAAGGCATCGGTTTCGCTTTTTCACAACCAGAACAATCACTAACGCATGAACTAGCATCCGGCAACAACACTGGCCTCTCGAGGTCGCTCTTCCGGCCCACATTCAGTCTCAAAGGAAGAAAAACTTATCACACACCAAATTGCCGGCCGATTTCGGATCTTGAAGGATCGGAATAATCACTAGCGGATTAATTGAAGGGAGTGTTCCGCACTTGCATCGGGGTTTGGACCAAAATAAACTTCTTGAAGACCTTTCGGCGCCGTTTACAATCCCGCCCCTAAGACCTAAGCCCCTATAGTTTCTGAGCCACACGCCCGCGAAAATGAGGAAAGGTATATCGGGGAGGGTATTTCAAAGTCACCTTTACATTCACGACGCCATAATAACGTTATTAACATTCTGCCATTCCATGAGCCATGCGGCAATCCAGGCCAAGAAAAATACAATTGTCGAGGCATTCAGGCATGGCGTTCGTGCGCGCGATTTCCAGATATAGCGGCCGTTCATTGGCTCTCAGCCAATGTTGTGCAAGGTACGATAATGCAATCAAGCAATGACGGAGTGAGGAACATATTTACTTAACAGAGAATTGTGCTGTCTAGAACAGCTTTTTCTCTTAAAAGTATGTCAATAGCTATAAGTGAACTTTTTTATCGTGTATGATCCTCACTTCCATATCCTCAAATGCGAAACATTTCTTTTAACATCCGTCAAAAAGTCCTGACCTCTCAATGTAACCCTTTAAGGGCGAATGACTATATCATAACCCAAAACTAACGGCCTTTTTCGGGCATTTAAACAAAATAATTATACCAGCCCATGACTTGACGTCTGCCTGAGAGCCTGATCTCTCAACGTCTTTCTCCAAGGTCAACGTCTGAGGGTAACCTTTAGGGTAAAACTCGGGCTCAAAGGATGGAAAGCTTCCTGTTACAAATAA